AAAGCCACATACACCGAATGACCGGTCGGTCAGGAGGGCGAGGCACGAGTTCTCATGTATCATTTTCCTGCAAAGCACGAAACTCAGCCTGCATAGCACTTAACCAATGAGGGTCAGAAAAAGCTTTTGCATAAGAGGTGGGTATTGGTGAAATTGAGGTGGTCATAAGGGCATGGCGCGCTTTGGAGCGGGTGGTCATTTGATGAGTATTCTGTGCGGGTTTTGATACAGCGGTGGTCTGAGTGTTGGGATTTTGTGAGACAGGTGCAGCAGTGTGTGTGTGGGGGTGCCGTAGCATTGGCCACTGGGTTAAGTCGGCTTTGTTTATGGCGGGCGGGTTGTTATATTATGGGGTGAGAGATTGGGCGTTTTTGGGTTTGGGTGGTGTTTGGTGTTGGGGAGGTTGCTAATATAAACTGAAATCCTGGTGGTGTTGTTCATCAAGAAATGTGTATGTTTTTGGTTGGAGTTGGAATGGTGTATGGAAAGTTTGTTCATCAAAGGTACATGTCGTGGATATGTGATCTTCCGCCGTCGTTAGGGTCACAGCACTCAGCTATCCCCTAAAAGATGCTGGGAGGGTAATCCAAGAAGATGCATCTAAACGGGATCTTGGGTTAATTTGTGGGGTTGGGATTGCGGAGGTTGGGATAACAAGCACACCCGAACACACGTAAGTGATCGTATGTCGGGTGGCGGAGATATAAGGCAAAAGTGGGTGTGAAATAATTGAGACGTTTGGTTGGAAAGATGTTATGGAGATAGGCAGCAGTGTGAAGTGCTTCGACCCAAAACATAGGTGGTAATTCAGCATGGATGAGGAATGAGCGGATGATGTCGTTGAGACGACGAATCATGCGTTCAGCCCGACCATTTTGGGAAGATGTTTGGGGGCATGAAAAACGGAATAACAGACCATGTTGTTGGGCAAAAATTTTGAAGTTATGGTTGTCAAATTCTCCCCCCAAGCCAAGTCACATTGAAAAGCTTTTGATATTGCGGTTGAATTGAGTGGCTATGAGTTATGGAATTTATAAGGTTGGTAAGTTTCAGATTTAACTTGATGAGGGTATTAACCCACACATTAATGGGAAAAAATTACAACTTAGCACCATGTAGTATTATATCCACGATTTGGTGGAATAGGGGAGGTCCACAAGTCACAGTGTATATATATCCAAATGAGTGAAAGTAAAGAATTTGACTCATTAAAAAGTAATCGTTTGCTATTAGATAAATGACAAGAATTGCCCCAAAAAAATAAATGCTTGTTTTTATTACAAAGGAAGACCCAAACTGTTTGGTTAAAGCACTCTAAAACTTGTGGTGCCAGGGTGACCGAGGCGATCGTGCCAACGTTAAATTGGGAAAGATGTGATTGAAACAAGTTGTGGTGGTGGAGTTGGGAGTGACAGGATAAGAGGATCTCGGTACTATTTTGTTGGCGGGAAAGGAGCATGTCCCGTTTTGAGGTCCTTCCAAAGAGAAACCAAAAGGGTCAAATTCAACAAATATGTTATCACGATGTTTATTTTAAAACGGCGACAGATAATAAATTTTTAATTGATATGTGGGCTGTAAATATGTTTGGGAGGATGTATGTTACGGGGTTAAGGAATGCGGAAGGTAACACCTGTTCCTGGAGCCCTCAATTGGTAAATAGTGTCCGTGCGACTAAAGTTCTAAGTGTAACAGGAAAAGAGTCAGGGTTGCGAATCATGACCTCGGCGTTGTCGGTGACATTACGTTCTGCCCTCGTATCCGATGATCAGATTTGGATCTGTTGGTAGTTGAGTTGGCATCTGATGTGTATAAGCTTGGCTGAGATCAGAAGGACTTAGAAGCATCATATCCAGTATGGGTGGAGGGGATATTGGTGTGCTGGGCCGTATGGCTGCTGTTCTGAATAAGCGGCCATAAATGGGCATGGGTGTTTTTTGCAATATGATTTTGGTGGCCATGGAGTTCTGTGTTGGGTAGGACACAGTGGAGTGTTCCCCAAGCCCATTTTGGGTAGGTTTGATTGGCGGACTATGGGTTATAGGCCCAAGGAGTCCCCGGAGAGTTTTCCCCTGTAGCCGCGTCCTCTGCCTCTGCCACGTCCTGCCTCGACCACGGCCTCTATAATTTGGAGTTGGTAGAACTGTGTTGAGGGCTGATTGTTTCAGGTTAGTTGAGTGTGGCCCGGCTGGGTTTGGTTTCTGTCGTGGTTGGAGCGACAAAAGGACAGAGGTTTGGTTTGTTGTCGTGCAGCCTGGCGAATGACCTCATCACTTCAACATGGTTCGTGCAAGGTCCAGTCTGCGTTTTGTGAGTTAATAAGAGAACTATTATTGGCGTCGAATTCTTGAGGAAGGGCCACGAACCAGTTGGTAAGACAATCGGGATTCCTGCTAACTGGTTGGTCAAAACATCGCTTCAGCTTGGTCGGCGAATGTCTTTCCAATTTTTGCCAGTAATCATGACGGAACTGCAAGGCTGCAAGGTGAGGATTAACGAATTTCTGTTTCAAGAGCTGCCGCCTTTTGCTTTCTGTTTGCTAAGGAAGATTTTTTCCAAGTTTCAGCATGTTTTTCTAGCCGTTAGGCTTCAGTGTCGAGGATGCGGGTGGCAGTTCATCAGACACGGGTACTGGTAAAACCCATTGAGACGACCAAGATCCTATTTCTTTCCAAAGCACTGTAATGATTGGATCTGTAGAGGCTGTGGAGGTGGCGTGTTCATCAATGCTGATCACAGAACACGGTATGCATAGAATGAAACTTGAATAATTTCACCCATGATGGTGCTATGTAACTGTGCTACCATTCTAGGGTTCTTATCTTTGATTGGATGTTTAGTCACAGATAGGAGGTGTGAATTGGGGGTGGGTGTTTGTGTCATGGTCAATTCGCGCCAGAGCTAAAAAATATGAGAGAGAAAGGAGAGGGAGATTAATTTTCAGAACCGAAGCTCTGATACATGAAAGAAGTGTTTGAGGATTTTGGAGTTCTTGATGATTTGTATTTGATGGATAAGGCCCTTTAATAGGGAGAAATACGAACAAATATGGAAAGGAATTACAGAGATAATTACAGGAAATTAAATTGTTAATTCTGTTCCTAAATCAGAGGAATCTTGATGATTTGTATTGATGTATAAGGCCCTTTAAATAGGGAGAATACAAACAGAATATGGAAAGGAATTACAGAGATTAATTACAGGAAATTAATTGTAATCTGTTCCTAAATCAGAGGAATGATCTGTGGAGATATCATCGGCTAAGAAAGGCATGGTCTAAAGTAAAAATGTGCTCAAGATTAGGAGTGGAGTTGACCAAATCTAGAAGTTTTCAATAGGTATGCTAGTGATTAAACTTACGTCAGCTTGAAGTATGGAGTGTTAGGTTAAAAGTACACTTATAACCATACTTGAATGTCTCTATATATATTTTGTAAGAAACTGAATGATTTAGAGAACTGAAGAGAGAGCATTTTTGCTAACATTTCCCTCTCAATTCTTTTCTCTTAAGCTCCATCATCAAGCTTATTGGCTTAGTTGTGTTGCTTAGCTCATTTTTTTGAAGGTTGCAATGCAAAAAATTAATCATCAAACTTCCAGTATTCTGCCCTGCGGACCCAATAGATTCCCAAGTAAGTTTAACCATAAAGCTTAGGATCTATTACTCTTCCTTAGTTTCACCAGAAAAATTCAATATCCTTCAAGTCCAAACTTCTTTCTATCATCATAATCCAATGACATCAATTGCTTAAAGCTTTACCGAGATATGGACCACATATACCACCCATAGAAATAACATGCATTAGAAACAGTCCCTAAAACCTGTCTTTGATCATGTTATTTTTTTACCTATTTGTACTCATCTATAAACCTAGCTCTCCATGTGAATGCTTACTTATCAAACACAACATTATCCCTAAACAACATAACCTGCTAGCTGAACCATATCACAAAGGAATGAAAAAGGCATACATTGAATACAAAGAAATGTAGTCATTACAGGCACACATAAGTTTCATCAATCCAAATATATCAGTAAGAGTAAAGGCCATGGAGATTCTCAAAGTAAAGAATTACCAACTGTGGAATTTATACATGTGCCAGTTTTTGTGTTCCAACTAATAAGACATTAAAGATAAAAGGCAATTTATACATAAATATAGACTAAGTCTTCCATAAGCAAAGCAAAGAGATATGAATAGATGTTGCTATTTTGACACTTCAATACGTCAGATGAAGTTTTCTCCAAATACAGAAAAATTGTGCAAACAATTAAATCAAATAAAAATTATTTCTATTTGACTATTTGAATTAATTATTACTCTTCTTTAGTAAACTTTTCAAATTAGAATTTTATTTTGTATTTTTCAATTTAGGAAAAATTAGTTTGATTATTACGTTATGAATTGTTTAAGTAAGCTTGGTTTGCTTATTCCTACTAGAATTGGTTTCCAATATTATAGTAGTTCTAGAAACTTATGTAAAGCACATTAGAAGAAGTCCCTGAATCTGAAGCCAACCATGTTCCTCAGCATGTTCTTCAGCCTTTTTTCAATAAAGTGATTGCTATGAAGACTAGAAGCTAGAGCCTTTCGTTTGAGGACCCAAGATTTCTACTAAATGCATCACCAAATTAAAGTACAAAGACACAAGTGACTAAATTAAATAACTACTGTATTATTGAATGAGAAAGAACCCTCATCAGAGTATAATAAGAACTCTGTTTTAGTCACAGTGGATAACCTAAATGTACTCACATTAAAGGGACAGTGATACATCATAAAATGTTTGGAAAAAGAAATTGCAGGAGAAATCCCACATCAGCCAGTTAGAGAGATGTCATGGGCTTTATATGTGGCTGGGCACTGTCCCTTGGCAAGACAGTTTTCCATGGTGAGTTTTACACCCCTTTATCCAGTGCCGGAAAAGGAGTTCGAATGATGATAAATCCATTAAAAACCATATTAAGCAAGCAAGATCTAGCACTCCATAAAGCTGACCTGATGAGAAACATCGAATTGCGCCAATATGACCTCTGCAGACTTTAAAGTCTTATCAATATTCTCGTGAGCTTTCCTTATAGCATGCGTTCTTATCTGCAAAAAAAGGATACCAAAAACGCTAAGATGTTTGATGGAATCAATTAATCAAATGGCACGATCTGGCTGTAGCTTTCAGGAACAAGGGAAAAACAGAAAGCTAACTGAATCTTATAAAAGGAAGGTGAAATACATCTAGACCAAAGCATTCAGTTGATTCATTTAATTCCTTCAATGGTGATAACTATAATATGTTTAATCTTCTCGGTCTGGATAATTCTAATGGTCAAAATAACTCTTTCCTCTATTTTCCTTCAAACCAAACAGAAAATGTAAAACTATGATAAGAGTTAAATGCAATGACTAAATCAAAGTAAACATTAATAGCCGGATTCAGTTTATTTTTTGCGTGCAGATAAAACTGAAAAGAAAGCCATAAAAAGAAATCACTTAATGTTTTCCCAAAACCAAACTGAAAAAGTTGACCCAAATTTTCAACCCTCATCTGGATTTCTCATTTAAACATCAAAGAACCAGATTACTAAAGTTTTCCTGCATTACCTGAGAATGAAACAGAAAGTGATCTAGTCAAAGTATGAAAAAAAGGCGATTATGTGTACCTGAGTTGGACGCATGGCTGTCTCGAGAGCGGAGAGACGGCTGTCAAAAGAGCCAAGAATAGAGACGACATTATCAGTTATAGTTTGGCTTTTCTGAAGAGCCTCTCTCATCTTCGCAGCTCTCTCACTAAGCGAATCCATACCCATCACTGCTACAACCATCTTTCCTCTTCTTCTTCTTCTTCTGCTAAAGAGGAATTGAGACAATTACGGATTCTTGAAAGGAATAATAATAGAAGTTTGTCTTTGGGTGATAAAGTAGAGGAAAAATGGGGCCACTGCCAGTTTGAAAATTGTTTGATAATTTTTTTTTTTTTTTTCTCTCTCTTTCATACACCTTCCTTCCGGCGACAGGGTGTTGCCAATTTCCAAAGTCTTTCAAAGCCCTTAGTCCTTTTTTTTTTTCAAGTCTACCGTCAAAAATCTAGCTACTGATACTTTTTATTTTTTGAAACTAGCTTTTAAATTTTTTTAATTGGAAAAAATACATTTGGGTCATTAACTTATATCCTCATCAAGACTTTGATTATGATATCAAAATGGATTGATGTGACACAAATTCATCTAACATGGTGTATAATCACAATCAATACAAACACGCGCTACTCGTTTAATAATCATATCAAATATTTAAATATGAAAACAACACGAAATTAAAAGAGTGACAAAAAAACAATATGAATAACCCATTTAATTAAATATGTGATATATGAGTCAAAAAAATTCAACCAAATTGGATTTACACAAGTCAGAATACGACAAATATAATACATATAACTCGCAACCAGCTTATTATACATATTATATATATAATTATATTTCTTAAATAGGTTTGATGAGTTAGACGAGTCAACCCGTGAGACGATCCGTTTAAACTCATGGCATATACGGATCACTCGTTTATAATACGAACCCATTTAGACTCAATTCTAATCCATTTAATTTTCGCGTTAGGCAAATCATGTTCTTATATCATGATCTATTTTGACACTCCTAATATATCTGTTTTCAAATAATTATTATAAAGTCTTCAATATTTGCTTAAACTCACTTTCGGATCCTTCCGTCCAAAAAGTCAGCACTTTATCATTAATTAGATATACTTTTTGGATGAAATATGCTAACTTTTTGAATGAAGATCGCTAATTTTTTTTAGATGTAAAGACCTAATAATGAGTTGAAACAAAAGTTATGAATGTCATAATAATTTCCCAAAAAAACAGAGACAAAAGCTTTAAATAAATTATAAGTTAAAGAAACAAGTGTATTTTTTTTTCCTCTTTAATTTAGTTAAATTTATTTTTCTTTTATTTTGAACTAGATGTGTTTAACTGCGCGTTATTGCCAGTAAAAATGTGTAAAATTAATAATGATGAGAATGAGTGATAGAGTGATAATGAAAGGTTATTATACAAGAAACATTAGGTTAAAAGATTATCTATTATCTATAATCTATCATCTATCTATATTTATCTATACTTATAATTATTAATAATCTCTATCTATTACCATATATAAATATGGAAATAGAGGAAATAATGAAATTTTTAATAGCACTCTTAATGAAATTTGAATATCCTAAAATAGCATTAGTCATAATCAATTAGAAAATTATATTTTATTAGTTAATTGGATATAATTTATTATAATTATTTTTTAAATAAATATATAGATAAAAGGCATTAGTCATAATCAATTAGAAAATTATATTTTATTAGTTAATTGGATATAATGTTATTATAATTATTTTTTAAATAAAATATAGATAATTAGCATTTTAAAATTTTAAATTTTATCCTTTTTAAAATTTATTTTTTTAATAATATTTATGATAATGAGAAATTTTTAAAATTTTTAAGTTATTTTTTAAAATTATTTATAAATATTTAAATTATATTTTATATTTTTATTATTATTTAAATTATTTTATTTAGAAGAGAGACACAAAAAGAAAAAAATATATATTTTATTGTAATATTCTTTTTTCTTTATGTTTATATAATTTGATTGGATATATATTTTCAAAAATAAATTTCTAAATAGAATATATATAATTTCCAATCAGGTGGTGGTTCGGTTGGTCTATTCACTTATAGGAGGAGTCCTCTCCATCAATTGTTTTCACCAACTTAGTGAGATAGGGGCACAATTATTTTCATTAATTTGGTCAGCCAAGGAGAGGGTCACCCCTGTTGTGTAGCTTGCAGTATTATTTCGGCCTATAAAGGCCTCTAATAAATTAAAATAGAATATATATAATTAACCCTTTAAAAATTTTAAAATTTTTACTTTTCAAAATTTATTTTTAAATAAATAAACATATGTATGTGTGGGATGACAAACAATTGAAAATTTTAATTTTAAAAATATACATAATATTTTATTGTTATATCTATATATCTGTTTTATATCGTATATATCATATATATATGAAACCCTTATGTATTAGTTTATTTAAGAATTGTACATAGATACAATATAATGAAAATTTAGATACATTGAATTGAAGTGTGTGTGTATACAGACTGCTATTTTAATTAATTAACCATTATATTTTCACATTAATCTTCATCATGAAAATTTTATTTTAACCATCATATGAAATTTTATTTTAACATTATAAAAATCTAAATAATATAAGATAAAAATTATAATCAATATTTAATATTAAAAAAATAAAAACGAGTATAAATAACAAGTAAAAGTGCGCACCGACATAAAAAATTGAACAAGTATAAATAACGAGTATAGTCAACATGCAATACATGTCATAAAAAAGACTAGTATATGTAAAAGTGGGAATGTGTGGAAACATTGAGATTATCAAAAACACTTCTATTAAGTTTCTAGATTGACAAAAATAGCATTAAAGATTTTAATTTTACTAGTTTTCTTGAACGTGCATTACACATTGTATATACTCGTTTATTTTTACTCATTGCAAGTAAATTTAATTAATTTATAGGCTAAATCAACCAAAAAAGAAGCAATAACTTTGACTTTTTAGCAAATTTTGTCGATATTTTTAATTTTATTAATTACTACCTTAAACTTATTTTTCATTATACTGTCTCCATCCGGAGTCCATTAATTTATTACTTATTTGGCCATTAGTTGGCCCCACAACACATCATCTTACATCCATATGGTTATCTTTGACCTTTCATCCTTGCTTTTAGAATCTTTAAGTTAGAAGATTACGTTGTTGAGACAATCTTTCTTTTATCTCACCATAAGCTAGAAAGAATTTGATATGACTTTAAAACTAATAGACTCTTAATGGACCATTGGGGAGCAACTCATATCGCCAACAATCCCTAGATTTGCCAAGTTGGTTTCTTCACTCCTATATATAATATATAATAGTTATATATATATATATATATCATTTTCTTAGTAATTATATAGATATTCTACTAATTTTTTTTTCTACTAATTTTTTTTGTTATAAATTAATAATATTATGAACAACTTATATTATTAAAAATCTAAAAGCATTCACCAAATAGAAAAAAAAAGAACATTTTATGAAATAATAAAATAATAAATAATAAATTTTTTCATAGTGAGAACTAGGCGTTACTTGACTTCTTACATTTACGAACACGTGTTTTTTACACCTCTATATCTTGGCAAAACATTTACAAAAGGTAAGGTTTAAAACGATAACAAATCGATTAAAAATCGAAGGTTAACTTATAAGTCAAAGTGACATTACCCACTCTTTTGCAAACAACTTTTTTCCAGGCCGATTTTCTTTATAAAGTTAACACCAATGGAAACTAGACTTCGATAACTTTTTCAACGGTACCTTATGGGCCTAAATCAGAGGTTGAATAGGCCTCGAACTGGCCAAATCACTCTAAACTAGTTGAATCGAACCAAAATGCATATGATCTCTCAGGGCAGGGTGGTTGGCCACCAGGACTAGGGTGGTCGACCGCCCCAACCTGAAATTTTCTCAAATTAAAGCATTTATTCACAAAATTCAAATCAACTATACCTAAGTGACAAATAAATACTAATAATTCAAAATTAGGTATAAAGTTGTAGTAAAAATACTAAGTATAATTAGACAAAAATATATAATACATACTCTCTTCAGCGAAGTGATATTCCTCCAGCTCACTTTTCCGCTGATCTCTTTCTTTAGCCTTGTTATAGGTCTCCATACTTTTGATATGAAGCCTCCTTGGCTCACTATGCCCTCACTAAAAGCCCTCTACAGGTCTAGGTCCTCCTTCATACCCTAGATCTCAGTTGGCTTATGTTTTAAGCCTTAGAAATCTAAGCCAAGCGAAAGCTCCATGCCGGTTAGCCCTCTGGTCAGCCATCCAGCCAGCCTTTCGGTCACTCTTTGTTCAACCATTCGGTCAACCACATCAGTCTCGTTAAAAGACCCAGGTAAGTCCTTAGTGGCTCTAATCTTTTTAATATTGCTCTCATCATCTAAATGGCTCCAAGGAGCCTTTCTTTTTTAAAATCCATTTTTAAATTCGGCAATCTAAGGCAAATAAATCTATTTTTTAATCCGGTGATCTAAAGCCAAGAAAATACATTTCTAATCCAGCAATCCATGCCCAGATGTTTTCTATAAAATGTCATTCCAATGCCTAAAGAAACGTCATAAATTAAGGTCTTCAATGAACTTTTCCAAGTTAAACTCAACCAACCACCAATTTACAATGGGTACAACTGCTTGGTCCTGATTCTCATTCCATGGGATAAGCAAGCAAACTCGAGTCTCTAAAATCGAGTTGCTGACCCAAATCCACCAAAAATCGTTTTTTCCTTCTTTCTCCTTTTCTTTAATTTAATTTGAATTGGGAGACGTGTGATTGCCCTAGAATCTCCCAAAGGGGCTAGTGGCAATACTCCCTAATTTTGCAATTTATTTTATCTTTTTGCTTTATTTTATCGCTTTATTTACTTTATTGCTTTATTTTATGCTTTATCTTATTACTTTTATATAAATATCATTCTCTTCATCTCAAATCTTTTCATTCTGCGTTGAAGATTAATTAAGGTCAATTGATTATTTAAATTGAAAACCTTGTCTTTGAATCCTCCTTGGTTTTATTGATTAATGCACCTTTTCTTAAATGGAGTCAAATAAGGTTTTTCTTAAGTTTACCTCATAATTAAATTTAAGTGGCGACTCTACAAAATCCATCCGTGAACCTTACCCAAATGAGCATTCCGATACCATTTTTAGCATATCGGACTTAGCGCTCAGGTCTAGGTTGCGCAACTGGCGACTCCACTGGGGACGTAAAAATAATTTTACAAAGTGGATTACTAATTGGTTTAGAAAATAAAAACTGAACTAATTTTTCCAATTGTTTACTTAATTGGCCTTCTTTTAATGTTTAATCTTTTCATGCA